AGAAATTATAGGAGAAATGCAAAGGAAGAATACCTGCCCTGGGATCTTCTTGCAGATAGTTACGAGTATGGATGCCCGACTTTACTTGCACCCAAATCCTTGCTCTGCCACTCACTGACTGAATTGGACAAGTTACTTAATTTCTCAGTGCCTCAGTCTCTCCATTTGAAAAATGGGAATAATCACTATTCCAGTCTCATTGTGAGAATTAAATGACATATTATACATGCGAAGTACTTATAAAAGTGTCTGGCATATGGAAGAAGCTCAGTAAATGTTAATTATTGTTATTGTTAATACTGACACTACATCAGATATACTTTTCATTTTAGTATTTATGTATTTATTTTAAGGTATTTTGGAAAAATTGAATGTATTTTGAAAAATAGCTAGCATATCAAATCTATGATTTTATAGATGTTAAGCTTTAGAATGGTCTAAATTTTTAAAAGGAGGTTGATTTAAAGTGGACATAAAGACCAGCCTGAGCAAGAGCAAGACCCTCATCTCTACTATAAATAGAAAGAAATTAGCCAAACAACTAAAAATAGAAAAAATTAGCCAGGCATGGTGGTATGTGCCTGTAGTCCCAGCTACCCGGGAGGCTGAGGCAGGAGGATCGCTTGAGCCCAGGAGTTTGAGGTTGCTGTGAGGTAGGCTGATGCCACCACACTCTAGCCCAGGCAAGAGAGTGAGACTCTGTCTCAAAAAAAAAAAAAAAAAGCCAATTTAAAATAAAATAAAATAAAATAAAGTGGACATAAAGAAAAATAGTAAATAGGAGCTAGTATAGGTAATACACCAACCCAAAAATCTTCCCAAACTAAAATTGAGGAAATACTGGAACTATACAATGTCAATTATGTGAATTTTTGTACTTAAAAAAATACCTCTTTCCTTTAAATGGCCTTGAGTGAGTTGAAACATATGCAAAAGGGATTCACATAACCAATAACTATTAGCTCAGCTGGTAACAGGAGATTTCAATTATCCAAGCATCAATTGACTTCTTTCTTCAAAAAAAATAGAAACTGTATTTCTAAGAGGTAGCAGGAAAGAAAATTAGAAGACAGATTATGTATATGTGCAAAAATGTGATGCTGATATGCTTCTGGTGGACTTTGTACCCAGACAGATATTTCTATGATGTTTAAAAGAGAATTCATGGAGTTCCTAATACACTGCTAACCTGACTCTGGAAAGCATAACAATTAGAAAGAACTGATTGCCCCTGTTCCTGCAACTGCTCTACCCTATACTATGCCCCTGTGATGGGGTTAAGACATTGTTTACTGGGAGCCTGTGAAGGGCAGGGCGCTTCCTTGTTTACAGATGGAGGGTTCCCACCTGAAAGGCTCCAGAGGAGGCTGGTGGTCAGGAAAGGTTGGACCATTCTCTGTCAAGCCAATCAGAAAGGCCCTAGGGCCTAATAGGTTTCAATCCAGATCTTTGGCCTCAGCTCAGTTTAAGAACCAGCATTTGAGAAGAGCCCGCTCATTTTCAGGAAATGAAGTAGGTTATAAACCGGGGCAAAGGAAACCAGACTTTGCACACAAATGCAGTTAAACCAGCACTCAGGGCCAAAAGGGCTTTCTCATGCCCTGACAAATCTGTACTTTGAAAGGTGGCAGAGAAATCTGTACTTTGAAATCTGTGCTTTGAAATATATTTTTTATATTTTTGTTCCAGGTTTTCTTCCTCCTTAGCACTTACTAGAGTTCTTGTTGATAATGTCAGTATTTCACTGTGCTTAGGGGGAACAAGAAGAGAGAGGGGTATGTGGAGAAAACCCAGGCCAAATCTATCATCCACACTAATTGTACTTACTGGGGGCTTTAGCATCTGTTCTGGTCTTTAACTTCTCAAAATCCAGGTGGTAGTAGCCTTATGCCCCAGTCAAATGCACGAGGAGGGAGATTTAAAGCCCTTTCTATATATCACAATGCTGTGTTTTATCCACACTTGAACCAGAATTTTAAAGGAGAAATAGCTTATTCCTTAGGTGTTGAGGAATTAGTCGAGCCTTAAGAATCCAAGGGACAAGCCACAAAGGGAAGCTATCCCCACTTTACCTAAAGAGGCTCCTTCTAGACAGGGCTGGGACCACCGTGTGCCAAGAAGGCACCAAGGCTGAAGAATTTAAGGCATTCACTCTCAGGGTTCTGCAAGTGCCTCCTTTAATTTTGAGGACTCCTCTTTCCTCACCCTGAATCCTTCCCTGTTTCTAGAACTTTCATCTCCTATAAGTCTGGCGTTTATATTTTGTTGTTTTTTTGTTTCTTCTTCAATCTGGGCTTGTCATATATTTTATTTTAATGAGAGAGGTCAGTCTCTCACAAGAGTCCTGCCCTAATAAATGATGCTTGAAAAGTTATTGAGCTGGTTAAAAAATAAAAAGAGGTAAAAGAGTGATAAAAAGGAAATATACTAGATCTCAAAGAAACCAAACCTATGAAAAATAATCTAAGTAGAAATCTACATGTTATTGCCTTTTCTATTATTCCCCCAACAAATAACTCTTTACTGTGTAGCACAAAGGCGACTGTAACCTGAGTTATTTAAACAAAGAATGAACCGTTTCTTAAGGGCTTTCTGGCTTCCTCAGGTATATTCACTTTTGGGTTCAACTTTCTATCATAAACAAAAGAAATGTATTAATATTAGTCAATGCCCTTTGACCTTGCCCTAAGCTAGGCACTTGTTATAAATACACACTTTAACAGAGACAGTGACATGGATTTATATACACAGATCAAGAAGGCAAGACAAAAACATTTCCCAGATAAGGAATAGGGAATGGAGTCACAGTTTATACCAGTCAAAAATAAGTGCATACAATGAGTGCTTTGTAGTAGGGAATGCTCCTAGGCTGGAGCTAGAACAAGATTTCAATCACTGAGCTATCTAAACTCAAAGGTCCTTCCAAACTCTAAGGATCTGTGTATTCCAGTCTAAGGTTAGGTAGCCAGGGAATGGGGGCCAGGGACTATATACTTAGAGTGGTGTTTAGATAGAATTGCTTCATCAAAGTGAGAAGGAGACAATCAGTTCTTGTTTTCTCCATTCACCCTAACACTTGCTTACTCTCCTTAAAGTTACCAAAGCCAAACAATTAATAAGTAATCCAAGAACAGCTAAAACTGAGTAAGAGTTGAAAAGCATCATCTCTCAAGATTACACTGTGTTATTTCATTCATGCAGTCAATAATTCAGTAAATATTTACTAAGCATTTGCTTTTATGCAAGGCACTGTGCTATGGAAATTATGCAAATAAGCAATTGCTGTCTGAACTTAAAATCTGGTAGGTTGTCCTGCTCAATAAGAATACATATAATCAAAGTAAAATGGAGACGTTCCACAGGAGAGCAACAAAGCCCTACAGAGGAAGCACAGCTTTCTGGCTTGTAATCCTGGTCTCCAAGTAAAGCTATGTGATCCTAGAAGTGCTTAATTTCCCTTCAGTTTCCGCATCTAATACTGTTAGCTGAATTTAGAACCAATCAAAACTAAATTTTTTATGCCTTTTCAGGACACTGTTTAATAACAGTAATATTTTAATGTATTAACTAGTATTTTAAATTTATTGAGCAAATTATAATTCCCTACATTTATCTGTATATATCATTTGGTCCTCACTGCATCCTTAAGAAATTGTTTTGGCAGGCATTATTTTCTATTTGACACGTGGGAAAACAGACCCTGTAGTTCTGTTGTAGCAGAGCTAGTCAGAAGCCAAGTCTCTCACTTCCAACTGAGAATCTTTTCATTGGGATACACTCTCTCTGGGAAATTCTGGAAACAGGCAGCAAAAACCAAAAACTGAAGCAGCTTACTTTTTCAAACACTATGTAAATGAATAGCAATGGTGAATAACAATGGGAATGTCTGCTAAGAAATATGTAATAAACATACTGATCAAATGGCAAGGTATATTTAAATGTAGGCTCCATCAAATATTTTTTAGAAACGGATGCATGAATGCAAGGCATGAAGTATTTCCATTGTATTCCTGTTATCCAACCTCAACTCCTACTAGTCCTCCACTGAACCTACACTCAAATATGATTATAAAGGGACTTCACTACATGGAGGGCAAAGAAAGAAAGTAATGGCACAGAACGTGCCATGTAATATTTATCCCATGTATTATAAGCTACAGATGGGAGTGAACCCAACTTCGCCCTATATCCCTCCATACTTAGCCCAAAAAGTGCTTCTCATTAACAGTTGTCCAAAGCCCTCATTATTTACCCTTATTTTGGACATAGGTCAAATGTAATTATTGCTAATAGTATCTGTTGGTTTGTATTGATCCCTGGGTGGTGATAAGAATTATCGTCTTGATAATACTCTAGTTTGTTTTTCATGAAGAAGTCAATGAAGCAAAGAGGAAGTTATCTCTCAAAAGTAACTTCTCTTTGATCAGTGCTACCAGTAATTTCAGGATCACTAGCACAACCTTCCAGAAACGGACGGTTATAAAAGTATCCACAAAACATTTAGGGTTTGGCCAACCCGGCTACAGGTCCTTAGGCCAGGCTGGACAGAGATGGGGCTGTTCAGTCCTCAGTGTGCACAGTGCCCGACTGCTGGTCCATCCCACAGGTTGGCGCCGGCCCGGCAGGCGGTCCTCCTGCCAGTGCGTGGCCCCGGGGAGGATCTGTGCGGACTTAGGACTGGGGCAGTGACCTTGACAGCCCCTCCGGCTGCCCGGGGAGGCTCAGGGTGGTCACGGGACTGGGATAGTGGCATGACAACCTCTAGGCGGCCCAGGAGAGGCTGGGGGCGGACACGGCCAAGCCCCCGCGCAGTGCCCTCCGCCGCCCATGAGGCTCAGCCGCGCGGCGGGTCTCCCCTCTTCCCCAGTCCCTGGAGGCACGTCTAGCCACCCGCCCGCAGCGCACCGGGGCCGGGCTCGGGCGGGGGACGAGAGGCTCCTGGGGACAGCAGTTGGGGGCTTCCCTCCGCCAACGCCGCCGCCGGCGGGGACGAGCCCTACCTCCTCGGTGGCCGTGGGGCAGTAGGAGATGAGCACGAGCGTGGTGAGCAGGTTGATGGCGAGCCCGAGGAGGGTGATGGAGTTGGGGGACATCCAGAGCGGGATCCACTGGAGCAGCCAGGTCCAGTAGAGCTGCAGCGGCGGCTCGAGCAGCGACACGCCCGCCGCGCTGTAGCGGTGCTCCTCCAGCCGCCGCAGCTGCGCCGCGCTCAGCGGCTCGCCCAGCGCCTTCAGCCAGCGCGGCGCCGGCCTGGCCCCGGCGCCCGCCGCCATGGCCGCCTGCGGGCCCCGCAGCTGCGACGAGCGCAGCCCGCGCCGAGCGCCGGGGGCGGGGAGAGCGGGGGGCGGGGCTCGCGGCGGGGCCTGCGCCGGCGGGGGGCACGGGCCGGTGGGGCCCGCACGGCTGGCCGGGGTGGAGATCACGCCGGGCCGGCCTGGTGCCGGGGGCCCCGCCCCCAGCGGCTGGGCTGCGGGTGCGGCCCGCTGGCGGGGCGGGGCCTCGGGGGTTGCGGGCGAGGCGCGGGAAGGCTGGGCCGGCGCCGCGGGCCGCCAGGTCGCGGTTACGGCCGTAACTTTCTGCTGGCGCCCAAGGGCGCTGACTTCCCAAAGGTCGCCTGCACTTGCCTCTGGCGTCTGATTACGCTCCCCTGAGCGAAGCCTCTGGCTGGCCCGACAGTGACAGAGCTGATTCGTCTACCTTGTGGTGGTGGGGGCACAACTCCGTTGTCCTGGTGTGCCTTTGGCTAACCACTGCGGGGCGACGCTCCCTGCAGAGCCTGGGGTGTGTTTGTGTGAGAATACGATCTTGCAGGTCTGGGGTCACCGAGAGTGATGGCCCATCTGTCCTGCTTGGTAAACACACAAGCACAGTTCTCCCTCCCATCACGGAGGAAAGCGGCCCTGCCGTGTGATTAGCACTAGAGAACTCCCAGTGCATGTTCAGAGATCAAGGTGTTGCAACTAAAAATCGGGGCTCACAAACACTATCAACAAGGGACCCAATGGCTGAAACCTGTTAGGTTTGTTCCAGGTGAGAACCCAAAATGTATAGGACAGAATGTGGTTAATGCAAAACTTAGGCTTGTAAAACAATAGCCACAGGAGTCTGGAGAGTCCACGGACTTTGTAAATCTAACAGACAGCTGCAGTCAGCATTCCTCCCCCTCCCTCCCTGATAGAGATGAAGTTTATCCCTCCCTAGCTCTCCTGATAAAAGCGATGCCAGAGCTGAAGGATGGATATGACTGGGGCAGGGGTCTCAGGAGTTCGTTGTTTGCAAAAGAATTAATTACAAACGGCTGTTCAGGCCCACTTACTCCCCCCCCACCCCGAAAAAAACCCTCTATAAAACCTAAGGCTCTCCCCTTTTCTCTTGTGGACGCTTTTTTGCCTCCACCCATCTGCACCCAGATGTTCAAAATAAACAGCATTTTGCTACATTTTGAGGGAGGCTTCGTGTGTCTCCCTCTCGGCTCCCAACCTAATAAAACCCAAATGCCTATTTTTCAGAGCATTCGATACCAACAAGGATGGATATTTTTACACACACTCTTCCCTGGAATAGAGGGCAGGAATCCAGGGGTGTCCTCTCACTGCACCGTGGAGCAGGCCAGCTTGCCACACAATGGTATTCAGCAGCCTGTTACCTCACAATGCACCCTTTTGGACTGGAACATCCTGTCATAAACATGTTCTGTTGCACGACCTGAGATAGGCCTGTCACTTGCCTTGCTCTTCATGGTTCTAATCTGTATGCACTTTTCTAAGGCATAGAACAAGCCAAAAACTTCTAGGATACTTAATGCTGAGCAACATCTATCAGCAGATGCATTTTGCCCCACCACCCACTCCACACCTGCTGGGCAACTCATTCCAACACCTTGGAGCAGGGCTCAACAAACTTGCTGCCTGCAGGCCAAACCCAGCCCACCACCTGTTTTTCCTACAGCCCATGAGCTAAGGATGTTTTTTTTACATTTTTAAATGATTGAGAAAAAATCAAAAGAACATTTTGTGATGTGAAAATATATGAAATTTAAATTTCAGTACCATGAATAAAACTATGTTTATTCCTTACATATAGTTTGGCTGCTTTCATACCGTAAGGACAGCAGAGTTGGGTTGTGACAGAGACCGCGTGGCCTGCAAAGCCTAGAGTATTTACCACCTGGCCCTTTGCAAAGGAAAGCTTGGCAACCTCTACCTTAGAGCATTATGAGGGTATCTACAGACCATGCCATTCATTGGATATATATCTCCTAATCTTTAATGTGAAAAATGATGCTGACAAATGAAGGAAGGGAAACAGAATGAGGGAGATCCACTTTAAACAATGCTGGCTTTATGTGCAGTGAAACTTGCAATACGTACTTTTTAATGTGCCAGTGCCACAACTAACCCAAGGAAAAATCCTTTTCCAGATTAATAAATTCAACTATATTGGAAATAATTTCCAATGTACATCAAAAGACATCATAAAGAGAATGACAAGCCATAAACTGGGAAAAAGTATTTTCCTCAGATAAAATCCACAATGAATAGTACCCAGATTACATAAAGAGCTCTTAAAAATCAGTAAGAAACAAAAACAATCAACTAGGCTTATGTGAAGACACCTACAGCCAAATCCCCAAAACATGGTGACATAAACAAAATAGAAGTTCATTTCTCTCTTGCATAAAAGAAGTCTAGAATCGGCACTCCAGGACTGGTATGGTGGTTCCATGGTCATCAGAAACTCAGGCTCTTCTGTCTTTCTGTTCCAACTTGTATCTATGAGGTCACCGCATGGTTCAGAATGGCTGCTGGAGTTCCAGCCATCCTCCTTGCATTTCAAGCAGCAGGAAAGACGAAGAGGATAGAAAAAGGTAGATACTGTTCAGCTGAGCCAGCAAACTAGGGTGCCTTTTCAAAAGTCCCAAGCAACACTCTTCCATACAGTAGTCCCCCTTGCTCCATGGTTTCAGTTACCCACAGTCAACTACAGTCCAAAAATATTAAATGGAAATTCGAGAAATAAACAATTTATAAAATTTAAATTGCACACTCTTCTGAGTAGCATGACAAAATCCTGTGCCATCTTACTTCAACCTGTCAGGACATTAATCCTTCCTTTGTCCAGCATATCCATGCTATGTGTGCTGCTCATGTGCTAGTCACTTACTAGCCATCTTAGTTATAAGATAAAAAGTATAGTATGTATAGGGTTTGGTAATAACTGTGGTTTCAGGTATCTGTTAGGCTCTTATTCCCCTGCACATAAAGTGGTGGTAGCGGTGGTGGGGACGCCTGTTATACATCCCATTGGCCAGAACTTAATCACGTAGCCTACCTAAATGCAAGTATTAGCAAGGCAGAGTAGATGGATACAATCATTTGAAAAAAAAATCTGGCATTATCTGGTAAAGTTGAAGATGCATATGTATACTCTCTGACACCATAATTGTGATCCATGAATACATCCTAGAGAAATTCTTGCTCATGTATTCTAAGAGCTAGGTATAAGAATATTCACAGCACCTTTGTATAATAACCCAGAGCTGTAAATAAATTTCCAGCAATACAATGGGCAATAAACTGTGGTATTTTCAAGTAATTTAATATTATATAGCAAGTTTAATATAGCAATGAAAAATTAATGAACAATATGTGCTATGCCGAACTATTCACTTATTAACGTGAATGAATTACACAAGCATAGTGTTGAGTGAGGAAAAAAAAGCAGGTATATTAGTCAGAGTGAGCCGTCTTAACAAGATACCATAGACTTGTTGGCTTAAACAACAGGAATTTATTTCTCACAGTTCTGGAAGCTGTGAAGTCCAAGGTCAAGGTGTCAGCTGATTTGGTTCCCTTGGGAGGGCTCTCTTCTTGGCTTGCAAATAGCTACTTTCCCTCTGTATCCCCACATGGCAGATAGAGAGTTGGGGGAGTGAAAAGAGAGAGAGAGAGAGAAAGAGAGTGAGACACAGAGACAGAGAGAGACAGCAGGGGGGAGATCTCTGGTGTTTCCTTTTATAAAGGCACTAATCCCATCATCAGGCCCCCACCTTCACCTAAACCTAATTAATTCCCCAAATACCATCACAACGGCGGTCAGGGCTTCAACAGAATGAATTTGGGAAGGACTACCATTCAGTCTGTAGCAGAAGGTCATGGAAAAAACGTACACACTACGACTTTATTTATATGAAGCTCGAAAACATGCAAGATTTTGCATTTAGGAATATGTACCCATGTGACCACGCTATGAAGGCAAACAAAAAATCATAAATACGATTCTGAGTACTTGTTACTCCTGATACAGAGGAGGGGAAATGTGATTGTGGAGGGCACATGGCAGGCTTCAAAGGTATTGGTAATTATATTAGGATACAGCTAGGCTGAACAAAACAAAAATTTATTTTCCCCACATCTAATGTCTGGGTAGGTAATCCAGGGCTGGTATGGCAGCTCGATGGTGTCAGGGACACGGATTTCTTCCATTTTATTAGTCCACCACCTCCAGGATGTTGCCCTTGTCCTTGTGGCCAAAAATGGCTGGCCGTAACTCCCAACCAATTGGAAGGAGAAAAAGAAAAGGGACTGCTATGCTGCCTTCCTTTGAAGGCCATGACCAAAGATTGCACACATCCCTTCTGCTCTCATCTCACTGCCCAGAACCTGGTCACACGGCTACTACACCTATTTGCAAGGGAGGCTGCAAATGGAGTCTCTAGCTGGCCAACCATTGCCCAGCTAAACTTTCTCTTACTATTGAAAAGTGGGAGCATGGGTATTGGAGGGCCATCAAGCTGTCTCAACTACAGTTTTTAAACTGGGTAGTCGTAACATGTTCATTTTATTATTACCTTTGCCATATATCTCCCTATATACACATAGATACAGAGATTATATGTGCCATAAACGTTTTCATTTTATTTGCAAATATGAAATATTTTATAATTTAAAAGTAGTAAAAGTAATAAAAATAAAAAGAACTATTCTTTTTAACACACATGCTCTAAGCTGATTTTTCTCTGTGCTTTCTTGATGAATTTTTGGAAATTTCCATTTTTGAAGGTTTTTTTATTGTCATTTGTTTGTGTGTTTGCTTTAGAGATGGGGATCTCACTATGTTGCCCAGGCTGGCCTCAAACTCCTGGGCTCAAGCAATCCTCTCCCTTTGGCCTCCTGAGTAGCTGGGATTATAGGCAACCACCATAGTGCCTGTCTTTGGAAATTTCAAATTAGTTCAAGACATACTAAGGCATATCTGTCCCGTCTGCCTCCCCTACTTCATGTGATATATTCTAATATCAAAGAAAGGTAGATTCAGGATTTTCTATTATTTTTCCTCTTGCATCCATAAATTTTTATTTGATTGTTTATCTGAATTGAATCTCTTTCTCAAAGGAGACAGGACATCTTGCTCTGGGTTTTACTACTAGTTCTTTTGTGTAACTTTTACTCATATATTTTTTATTTTTTTTTTTGAGA